TCAGCCATGTTGTGGGGAGCTGAAGCTACCTTCAGCTAAGTGAGGTGTCCTGAACGTACTTGGTAAGTTCTCTTGTGATGTTTAAAAAAAAGAATTGTATCATAAATAGTAAAACATACGAATCTAAATATTACAATAAACTTAATCTTTAAAAGCGTAATTAAGCTGAAATTTTGTCAGTAATTTTTTTTTTACCAGAATCTCATCCAGTGAAAAAGATTAAAGACATCTTTTAAGTATGAATGTGTGTTGTTCTTATCTGAGAGTAATAAGCCTGGTTCATGGAAACCATTTATAAGAAGGTTTCGCTTATCAGAGACTTCCAAAGCAAACGATCAAACAAAGAAGAATGTTGCTGCTAAAACGACCAAACTCGAAATGCAGCTTCCACTATCAGCATGTGATGGATAAATGCCTGGCTTCTTTATCTAAGGGCTCTGTGCACTTGCATTCTGGTGCGAATCACCAGAAAGTGGCCCCCAAGCAGGGCTGGTCCAGGGCCACCAAACAGCTACATTAAATGGAGTCAGCAAAACTTAGAAGGATTAATTATCAACTGCAATACTACCCAATTACATTAATTGGCCAATGTTTCCAACTAAGAAGAGTTGCTGATATTCATTCTCTGTCCTCATTTTACTGGACGAACTTTATGCATTAAATGTGATTGAAAAGAATGCTGAAAAGAGCTATACGTCAGAAATGAATACTGCTCCTTAATTCTTTGAATTCTAATTTAAAACACAGATTCAGACACTGGGAGATTTGTGTTTGTTTGTCTTTAATCCATTTTCAATTCCCAGGGTACACTTAGTAAAGTGTATCTGTACCTAAATATTGGTATCTTTAATGACTCTTTCTAGCAACCCCCCCACAGATATTTTGCATTTCTAATTTGCTTGGTACACAGGCAACCAATGTGCATAATTGAACTGCAAATGGAAGCGTGCTTGCTACTTTAGTGAAATTAGAATTCAGTGAAGGTTATAAAAATATTAAACTTAATATCATATTACAGGAAGCGTAAGTATTTTTGATGGGCCCATAATTTTACCACTTCACCTGCTGTATCCGCTGGCAAACATGGTTTGGAATATTAATGGAAAACTCCCTCATTATTAAACTGCAGTATTAAAAAAAAAACCCACAACCACTAACAGCTTACTACAAAGACATTTTCAGAAATTATCTACCTTAAAAATATTTTCCTACCATACAGTTCAGAAAATAGATTTAATTTTGCAAAGCTAGAACAAATGGGGAGATCCCCCACTGCCTCAAACAATTCATTAATTCAAAAAGTTCTATTTTCTTTGCATTTCAAATCTCAGAAGGGAAAAAAAAATCCAATCTCCTCTTCTCCAACCTCCATTTGAGTGTGCCTATCTTGCTGAGGTCCAGATTTGAATAATTCAAAAGCATCTCTAGTATATAGTATATGTATCAAGGGGGAAGGGGCCAAAACCATGGCATTTTGGGTCAATTAATGCAAACAGAAAGCTCTGTACCCCCTTCACCTACCACATTGCTTCAATCAATAGGCACAGATGCCAGAAAGGGCTACAATAAGAATGAGATGAGATGAACACCTATGTAAAGGACAAAGAAAAGCACTCAAATTACAGGTCAAAGGGACCAGATCCCAAAGCAATTTGGCAAAGTCCACACAGTATAATCCACCGATACAAAAAGTTTGGGTTATGCCTGTGTCCAACTGATACTTTACCACCTGAGTTTAGTAAAGAACCCAATAATTATTGATTTGCCATGTTCTGAAGAAGACAGGTCAGAGACTGAACTTTTGAAGCACAATATAAGGTTCCTTGAATATCAGGTTAATCTGAAAGATGAGAAGAGCTTCACAAAGTATGTCTGAAAGATATCTGGCTCTCCTTGTCACAACCCAGACCTTTGTGCGTTCAAAACCCCAGCTCCACGATCACCCTCCCTCTCCTCCCCTTTCTCTTTTTCCTTCCCTGCCTCCCCACCTCTCTCTCTTTAGAAGAATGATTTATAACCTTCCCTAATAGCTAGTGCATCCCAAGGGTTTTCAGAAATAGGAGATGCACTCTAGGCATGTCCTTTTCAGGTATGCTGTGACACTATGGGTGGCAGGCAGGCCAATGCTGGTAGTATTTTAAGTTGATTTGATTGGCCACCTTTTTATAGATTATATTTGAAAATTTACTATCAGCTTTTCACTATAAAACAAAAGCACATTATAGAAAGAAGAAAAACTCTTATTTCTTCTCAAAATTAGGAAGGGCTCATAAATTAAAATGTGGCATTAATTTATTTCCAAAAAGGCAATTCAAATATTATACTTCCACCTTCAAAGATTAAACAATCCATCTACCCAGTTTTTGTCAAAGCTAGGAGAAGAATGATGCAATTCCACTCTTGTATCATGCTTTCAGTTACATGGTATTTGTAAATATTCTGTGAGGCAGATAACTATTCTCCTCATTTTACAAATGAGAAAACTAGAATCTTGACAGGTTAATAGACCAGCCAACTGGTTAAAGAGCAGAGCTGGGCTTTCTGCTCAGGTTTCCTAACCTCAAACCCACTGATCTTTGAACAGAGTGGGTAAAACCAAGCTTAGCTATGTGTGCCCCTGGGGAGACAGGAAGGCAGGCCTTTGGATATGTGCTGCCTGTCCCGACATCCTCCACCTCCTGGGGATGTCCTCTCTCCCAGAGGAACCTGGGAGCACTACTGACTCACCAAGATATCATCGTGTAGCTGCATCTAAGAGGACCCCTGGAAAAGGGCAGTGCTCTTTATTCCAAGGTATGTATGTCTAATAAATGATGCAGTGGCCCCTCAGCACATACTACTGCAGCACAGGGGGCTAGCCTTCTTTGCTGACTGTGAGGCTGTCCTGGGAATGCAATGACATCTGGCTTCACCCAAGTTCCCCTCAAACACTGATTAAACATCAAATAAAAACAAAGAAGCCCTTTCTCATATGCAAATATAACCTTGTGTCACCTAGGAGGAAAGCCTGCAGACACCTGGACATTTTGTTATGTAACTGCTTTTCTGCCAAATAAACTGAATTTTGAGAACAATGGAACTTAACACTTTATATTCATTTGTGAGGGTGGGGCCATCACCTAAGACTGTGAGGCAGGTCAGCACCCTAGAAAGAACACTGGAGCAGGAGCCGAGATTCAGACCCAAATACCACATCTGCCTCTAAACCACTCTCTGGACTCCAAACGATCACACACCCATACTCTGTAACTTGCTCTCTTATCTGCAAAATGAAGGCCACAACCACAAAATCTTGGTCTTCCTTAAGTAATCATAAATCAAAACAAATGTGCAATTAATTATTACTTTAAAAAAATTCCTATGACAGTAGAGGAATGGGTCTTTCTAAAAGAGAGACAGAGACACACATAAACACACACATGTTTATACTTAACATCAGAAAGCACATCTACATTATACAACTACCTACTGAGATTATTATATTCAGAAAATCATGCTGCTTTCCCTGTATTTACTGTGAAAATTGGTAATTTTCAGCTACTGACAACCTTGCTCAAATTTGATGTGGACAAGGAAATCAAGGGGTAGGGGGAGTAGGTAAAAGAGGAGAATGAAAGATTTCAGCTACCCTTGATATCAAGGGAAAAACTTAAAGCATATGGATCCAGAAGATACATAAATGCCAACATCCCAGGTCTTTTCCTGTCTCCAGTATGCTGCAGAAAGAGCATGGCCCTCAGAGCCAGACAAAATGATCCACACCTTGGCTCTGTCACTAGCTAGCTTCGTGACCCTATGACACTAGCCTCCTCTGTAAAATGGAGGTAACAACGCATGCCTCCCAGGGCAGACAGCAGAATGACATGAGAGAGTACATGTGCAGCTCCAGCACAGAGGAGCCCCTCAATCAATGCTGGCTTCCGCCCTCCTGGCTTCTGGATAACACCCTGATTTGAGAGTCCAGATCAGGCCGTGCAGCCTCAGAAGCACGGGAAAGAGCTGGCGCAGGTGCACCATAATGAGAGAGAGCAACAGATGCAGGGAATAAGAGTTTGCAGAAACGATCAGATAATGAAACACCTTATATCTTTCCAAAAAGGTGAATCATTTTCTTTTAGGTGTCAAATGAATAGCCAAATGTATCACAATCAAAATCTATCGTGGAAAAAAAAGCCAGACATGTACTCGTTTCAAATGAGTAGCAGCTCCTACTGCTGCAGAGCCTCTGTGACACTGGGCCGCCTGACAGTTAAAGGGCAAACACACCGCCCCCAGAGCTCCCCCTTGTCTCCAGAAGTTCTAATGAGCTAAAAGTTTATTCCATTTCTAAAACACATTTAAACTCCAACCCATCACTTACATCTCCTTAATTCTGAAATCCAATTCTCAATTTGGGCACTTTACCAGCATCTTTTCAAAAGTTGGACTTTGGAAAATATATGCACTCTCAGACAGAAGTGGGGAAAAGCCATCAGACATGCACCAAGCTGACACCCTTGAATATATTCCAATTTCCTCAGCCCTCATCTCCCTTAGCGTCTCACAATCAGTAAAGTGCAATGACCAATCATTGGAAATGACATGAGCTTAATGTCAGAAATCATTTAGTTTAAATAAGAAAATAACTCCATTTAGCTTTCTCCCACAAAGTAAAATTAAGTTTGTTTAGCCCTTTTTTATTTATTGCCAAAGGGCAGATTTAATTTCAAGGGAGTGAAAACCAAACTCATTCTGAAGTGAAGTCTAAAGTTACCACTTTAATTTTGCTTTAACTATTGAGGCGCAAAGGCTGAAAGCATTAAAATAAAGAGGCATTAATTATGGGGGAAAAAGATGTGAGTGGGACCCACTAAGATTTTTTAATCAGGGGGTGGAGGATGAGGGCTGGAGAGAATTCTATCATCTTATTTTGCTATGCTGCAAATACAAACTTTAAGAAAACCCACTGGCTCTAGGGGCCTTTTGAGCCTGCCCTCGTGGGCTCCAGTCTCAGGACTTACCAGATACATTAATTGAGGCCCCTGCATCGATGATCCCACTGTTGGGCCTCACACAGTACCTGCGCGGTGCTGTGGTCTTCACTTTAAAACACACATTTCGGTCTGTCGGGTTGCCAAGCTTTAGGTTGGTGGTGACAACATCAGTGAAGGGACCTGTGGAATAAGACAGAGACTGATTGGGGATCTAGTGAGGAAGGTTTAGAAGATTGGCTTATTAATAGCAGGGAGGGAAGTAAATGTACTTAAAGGAAGATTTGAGATCCAAAATTATCTCATTAACATGCCAATGGATGGGAGAGATGAGCTGAGGTTAATGCATTAGCAGTAACAGCTAATATTTACCATGTTCTTACTATTTCACCAGGTACTTAGTAAGTGTTCTAACATATGGCATCTCACTGAAACCTCACAATTTGATGATTATTGCTGTTTTACAGATGAGAAAATTGAGGACGGCAGAGACAAGCTACTTGTCCAAGTTTTCATGCTAGTTAGTGGCAGCTAGGATCTACAATCAGATGGCCTGAATCCAAGGCCAGTTCTTACCTATGTTAAATACTGATTTCCACAGTAACAAGAAGAAATCTAACAGAAAGAGCATAAAGGACTAAACTTGGTCCAAAATGATTATCAAGGGCATAGGGTGCCGAGAGCAGCAGATATAAGAAAGACTTTGAGGTGTTAATGGTCTATAAACACAGAAACCCCCAATAATAGAGTGCTGCTGCTAGAAAAGTTAATATCATCTTAGGCTACAGCAAGAAGTCCGGCGCCCTGCTGGGCAGTCCACACCTGAAACATCACATTCATTTTTAACTGCGTAGGCTACTGGGAAGACTGAAACAAAGCTCGGTGCCCTGAAGATATTTTTTATTACTATTATTTATTCATTTCCTACTTTATTAGATTTTTTAATTAAAAAAGTAAAACATGCTTCTTAAAACGAACCAAACAATAAAAGATGTATAAAGAGGAAGTTAATAAGCTTTCTCTTGTCCCCTGAGGTAACTAATATTAACGATATGGGAGATCTTTCCACATCATCTACGCTTACACAAACAATGCATACATACAGGTGTGGGGGATGGAGGGCTAACAAAAATGAGATAATACTATTCACATTACTCTGAAACTTGTTTTTCATTTACCAGTCTACCAGTCTACTGTAGACATGTGATCTAGGTTTACTAGTCAGTCAGGTGGGAGAGGTTGAACTACAAGACCTCTTAGGTCCTTTTCAAATTTACTTATTTTCAACAGGTTAAGTCAACATCTTTGTGTTCCCTCTAGGCAAGTTCTTCTGTCTTTACAAGGAAGTAGGAGATGGGGTGGAAAGGGGGTGTGCTTGTGTGTTCCCAAAGAAGTACATAATGTTGGTTTATCTATACCTTAAGAAGATCCAACAAAGACATTTGAATCTGTGCTTTGAAAAGTTTTCAATGAGACTCCAAGCTCCTGAGGGCAAGGATTATACCTCACCCATCTCCGTATCCCAGCACTGTGCCCGACATGGAATAAAGGTCTCAATATATTAATATCTATTCACCAAGAAGAAAACTACCTGTCAATTATCTCTAGCAGAATTAAAATCTCAGGCTGGTTCCTCTCCTCTTGAGGGGCTCAGGGTATGAAAAATCAACTTGATATGGGCTTAACTTAAACAGAAATTAAGAAACCAATAATGGTGGAAAGGAAGAAACGAAATGGGACTCAATTCCAAAATCAAATAAACTACAGCTAGTTCTGCTATAAGGCTTATTTTGAAAACACAAATTTATTCCAATTTGACTGATGTGCATATTAGAGGGACAATCTGAGCATAAAACGATTTTCACATTTGCTTATGCATGATTTTGTCTGCAAAAACAATAGGGGGACGCAGAAAACTGTCCCCAGCTGCATCTAGCCACACAGAAGAACACAACACACACACCCACACACCTCCACCGCCTCAGGATGCCTCAGTTCACCTTGTGGGCAATGAGTCACACCTGTCCACACTTGGCATTACAACTTTATGTCCAATTTCAGGTAATCCTCCTTCCTCCACATGACAGTAACTCACAGAACACAACTCTTCTGACATCTATATACACAGGCAAACTTCAGGCCTTTTCAAAGTAAAGAGCCGAATCTGCTACAGTATTTGCTTTTATCTTTGTACGGGTACCACTGACAAAGTCAATCATGGACAACCAATGCAGTCTCCACAAAAGGCCCCAAAAACAGGGTTTGGGGGCCGGGCGCGGTGGCTCACGCCTGTAATCCTAGCACTCTGGGAGGCCGAGGCGGGCGGATTGCTCAAGGTCAGGAGTTCAAAACCAGCCTGAGCGAGACCCCGTCTCTACTATAAAAATAGAAAGAAACTAATTGGCCAACTAATATATATAATATAAAAATCAGCCGGGCATGGTGGCTCGTGCCGGTAGTCCCAGCTACTCGGAGGCTGAGGCAGGAGGATTGCTTGAGCCCAGGAGTTTGAGGTTGCTGTGAGCTAGGCTGACGCCATGGCACTCACTCTAGCCTAGGCAAGAAAGCGAGACTCTGTCTCAAAAAAAAAAAAAAAAAAAAAAAACAGGGTTTGGGGAGCTTCTGGGAGCTGAACACATGGAGGCTTGCAGGAAGGTGAACAAGAACTCATCTGTAGCCGGGCGCAGTGGCTCACGCCTGTAATCCTAGCACTCTGGAAGGCCGAGGCGGGCGGATTGCTCGAGGTCAGGAGTTCGAAACCAGCCTGAGCAAGACCCCCGTCTCTACTATAAAGAGAAAGAAATTAATTGGCCAACTAATATATATAGAAAAAATTAGCCAGGCATGGTGGATGCCTGCATGCCTGTAGTCCCAGCTACTTGGGAGGCTGAGGCAGTAGGATTGCTTGAGCCCAGGAGTTTGAGGTTGCTGTGAGCTAGGCTGATGCCACGGCACTCACTCTAGCCTAGGCAACAAAGCAAGACTCTGTCTCAAAAAAAAAAAAAAAAAAACTCATCTGCATGCCGGTAGGGTGGCACATCCCAACTCCACGGGGACAGCAGCTCTGTGCTCAGGACACTCCCAGACCTCGCCCTATGTATCTCTTCACCTGGCTGTTTATTTGAATCCTTTATAATATTCTTTGTAATAAACCAGCAAATGTAAGTAAATGTTTCCCTGAGTTCTGTGAGCTGCTCTAGCAAATTAACTGAACCCAAAGAGGGGGTCGAGGGAACCCCAACTTGAAGTTTTGGAGGCCCAGACTTGTGACTAGTGGGAAGGACGGGGCAGTCTTGGGGACTGAGCCCTCAACCTGTGCAACCTGATGCTATTTCTGGGGAGACAGTGTTGGATCTGAATTAGAGGATGCCCAGCTGGTGTCCACTGCTTGGTGTGTATGAGAAAACCCCCCATCTGGTCACAGAAGTCTTCCGTGTTGGTGGTTGTGGTGTGAGAGTAGGGGAAAAGCACAGTTTGAGAGTTTCTTCCAAAACAGCTTACCTTTCCACTAAGGCCTGCCAGAAGCTATGAGAGGAGGCATCTGAAGGGCCTGTAGGTACAGTTTTAGCCAGATGTGGAGAAAGGAAGAGTCTTTCGTACTGCACCTCACCTACTAAGTCCATCACAAACAACCCTCCCTCCACACTTCGGCCAGCTCCCTACTGAGAACAAAAAGCTTACACAGGAGGGCAGGTACTTGTGGCCCAAGAGGATTTTCAGCTACTGAGGGAGGGCCAGGTGCTGACGATGCTTCATCCTTGCATCCAGTTCTTGGCATCAAGGGAGAAACAGGACACTTGGTGCTGAGGCAGTGTCTGAGACTACGGAGGCAGCAGCTCTCCGGGACTACCCTTTCTCCAACACATGCAGTCTGACTCACAATAAAGATGGAGAAAGTCTGATCTCCTATTAAGTCTCTTTGCTTGCTTAAAGTAGCGATCACTTCAGCAATGGTAGGAAAAATAAAAAAGAATAGTTAATCACAACTATGACTTTGTAGTCTCAAAGAAAGCAATAAAACACGCACACACATGCACACAAATGGCACACAAACCTACAAGGAAACAAGCAAATCACCACATATATAATTCCTTGGTAGGCCGGGCGCGGTGGCTCACGCCTGTAATCCTAGCACTCTGGGAGGCCGAGGTGGGTGGATGGCTCAAGGTAAGAAGTTCAAAACCAGCCTGAGCAAGAGCGAGACCCCGTCTCTACTAAAAACAGAAAGAAATTAATTGGCCAACTAAAAATATATAGAGAAAAAATTAGCCGGGCATGATGGCGCATTCCTGTAGTCCCAACTACTCAGGAGACTGAGGCAGAAGGATTGCTTGAGCCCAGGAGTTTGAGGTTGCTGTGAGCTAGGCTGACGCCATGGTACTCTAGCCCAGGCAACACAGTGAGACTCTGTCTCAAATAATAATAATAATAATTCCTTGGTCCTCACATAAAAACTGCCAATCAGAAGAACCCCACAGAAGCATGGTAGCCACACAATGCTGGGGGAAGGGAGAAAAAAGTGGAAAAATGTGTGTCTACATAAAGAGATAGCTAAAAAGGGATGAGCTTTCAAGTACAAAGCCTGGGGGGAAAAGGTACTCAATGAAAGTATGAATGTAATTCAAAAACTATCAGGCCTCAAAGCTTTCTAAATATTAATATAGGTTGAAAATTACTGGTTTCAACAAGATTCTGCCTCAAGAACATGGAAGTATCTTTAGACCAGAATGCCAAGAATTCACAATGGCCACCCCCAAAACATCCAAAAATATGTAGATATTTTTCTAAGATGGTTCAAAGTATAGAGAGAGCAGAAAATAAGGATGCTGGCAAGATTTCAATGCAATAAAATTAAGAATACTTATTAACTTCTAATTCACTACCTAGAGTATCTCCCCCCCCCATGAGGGTGGGGTGTGGGGATCCCAAATTTAAATATTTGTTTATCCCTTACATTGATCTTTTCTTCAGAGCACTCTACAAAAATAAACCAAATTTAAATAAATAAATAAATAAATAAACAAACCAAATTTAAATGGAAACACTAAGCTATTTTTGGAAATTTCCCAGGTTAATCTATTACAAAGCAATCTAAATGGTGTTTCAACTTACCTGAGTCACATAAAAGGTAGTCTAAATTATTAAAAGACAAGCAATATTTGTAATAATAAACAGGATAAGATAAGCATCTGAGATTTCTCCCTCAACAATCCTGAGTCTTTAAGTGTTAGGGATTTCTTGGGCTTTCATAGGCTTTTATTTGTAAAAATCTGGAGGGAGCTATAGTGAAAATCATATTCAATGGAACAACATTGTTGGTAAAATAGCAAAAGACACTTTGTAAAAAACAGGTCAAACCCCATCTCCCCACTCTGGGCAATTTACTCTAAGAATTTTATTGAAAATAAATTCTATTCGATTTGAGTAATTATAGGAGATAAAGCATGTTAGTGTTCTCCTTTCCCCTGTATTAATGAATTAGAATACACAAAAACCCCAATAAAAATGATATAAAGTCTTATGCGCATCATTCAGATTTTTACTAGTCACTTTCATTTCATAAAACTGCCATTTCCATTAAAGCATTATGTAAAAAATGGGATTTTACTAACCAACATGCATATTTATCACCAATGAATTTAAACATTGCTTATAAGATACAGAGTCAATTTTACAAATGAAATCTCCTTCAAAAGTTAGAATTTTTTCTTTTAAGAGATGAAAACGATGATTTGTGTCTCTGGAACCATAGTGTATACTTTTAATCATTTTTCTTTCTAATCTTTTATTCCTTCAGATAACAGCCATACAAAACTAGGAACTAAGCATCTAAAACGTGAAACGAAAGCTTAAAAAAAATGAAGAAACACGAATTTGGGAGTACTCTTTAAAATTTTTATCTTCTATTCTTTATGTCCTATATTAGGCATATATTCATCTGTGGAAACTGTTGTGAGTTTGATAAAGATGCCCATGAAATAGCACTAACTGAACATAAATTCCTTGGCAAGCTCTGGAAGGTATCTTGGTAAAGCCAAGCACGGCATAATCTATTTCCTCCATTTTCTCCAAGGTCCTACTGGTTGGATTTTTCTCAATTTGTGTTTTTTTAAGACAGCAAAAAGACCCAGAATTGACCTGTTTTAGAAAGCAAATAATATAATGCCAGCAGAAATGTGCACACAATTAAAAGTCAAAGGAGTAACCATTGCTTTCTAGTCTTAGTTACTAAAACGGGGTCTGAGATTTACAAAGTGCTGGTTTAAAGGTTGAAGAAGATGGTCACAGTCCAGCAAACTTCTCAACAGAGGTTAGGTTCCAGGTGTTGAAACTTTCTTCATAAATGGCTGGATAAACTTATCAATCAGGAAAACAGTGTTTTATGGAAAAAGTATTACATTAAATTTTGAGATACTATCGTGATCTATGCACAATTTAAATACTTCTTTTCCATAATTGTTCATTCAGAGACCCATGGAAGAAAAAATTAAAACAAAGATCTCCCCTTCAGGAAATATAAATACCATCTTTACAAAAGAATAATTTAAGAGTTATATACCAATTATAAAAGATAACAGTGAAAACTTCCCTTGAACCCTAAGCTCAACCGTGGCCTTTCCTAGCTGTATGACCTCAAGCATAGCAAGCCATCCCATCTATTAAATGGCAGGATGGAATTTTTTAAGGGGCAAATATACAATTTTATTTTTAACCCAGCAATTCAATTCTACAAGAAAAAAGATTAAAATGTACTTATAACACCAAACTATAAAACTCCTAGAAGATAACAGAAGAAAATCTAGATGACCTTGGGCTTGACTTTTTAGACACAACACCAAAGCACAAGCCATGAAAGAAACAGCTGAAAAACTAGACTTCATTAAAAATAAAAACATCTGTTCTGCAAAAGACACTGTGAAGAAAATAAAAAGTAAGCCAGACTTGGGAGGAAATATTTTTTAAAAACGTATCTGATAAAGACCCATCAACCAAAATATACAAAGAACTCTTTAAACTCAACAATAAGAAAATAAACAACCTGATTTAAAAATGGGCATAAGATCTGAACGGACACCAGATGTGGAGAGCAAGATATAGACAGCAAATAAGCAAATGAAAAGACATTCAACATCGTATGTCATTAGGGAATTGCAAATTGAAAAAGCAATGAGCTACCACTACACTCCATTAGAATAGCCAAATCTAAATCACTGCCAATACCAAATACCGGTGAGGATGTGGAGCAACAGGAATTTATTCACTGCTGTGGGAATGTGAAATGGTAGTTACTTTTAAAAGACAGTTTGGCAGTTTCTTACAAAACTGAACATATTCTTACCATACAATCCAGCGATCATGTTCCTTGGCATTTACCCAAATGAGTTGAAGCCATATGTCCACACAAAGACCTGCACACAGATGTTTACAGCAGTTTTATTCCAACTGCCAAAACTTGGAAGCAACCAAGATGTCCTTCAGTAGGTAAGTGGATAAACTGTGATATGTTCAGACATCGGAATAGTGTTCAGTTGCTAAAAAGAAATAAGCTATCAAGCCACGAAAAGATATGGAGGAACCTTAAATGCATATTATAAAATGAAAGAAGCCAATCTGAAAATACTACATATTGTATGATTCCAACTGCACAACCTTCTGGGTGAGGCAAAATTATGGAGACAATAACAAAATCACAGGTTGATAGGGGTTGAGGGAGGAAAGAATAGGTGGAGCCCAGAGGATGTTTAGGAAGTTCAAACTACTCTGATACTGTAATGCTGGATACATGTCATTATATTAATACATTTGTCAAAACCCACAGAATGTACAATGCCAAGAGTGAACCCTAATGCAGACTATGGACTTTGGGTGATAATGACGTGCCCATCTAGGGTCACCAATTGTAACCAACGTACCCCTGGGTTGGGGGATGCTGATAGTGGAGAAGACTATGCACGTGTGGGGGCAGAAAGTATAAGGGAACTCTGCACACACTTCTTGCTCAGTTTTGCTGTGAGAAAAATTGCTAAAATTGCTCTAAAATATAAAGTCTATTTTTTAAAGAAAGGGAGGCAGAAAAAAAATATTTGACCTTTTATATTAATTCACTTTCGGTGGCACCTCCCCCCCCCCATGTTTCTGATATTAAGTATTGAGATTTTTAAAATATATGTGCACGTGTGTGCATGAATAAAGATGCTTTGTTTTGCAGAGAGATTGCTTCTCTTCCTTTCCTAAAGTTCATGAAATTCTGGTGTCACAAATAAATATCCTTCTTTTGTAATTCATCTCTCGATGTAGCTACAATACTTTCAAACTCAAACTATATGTGTTACCAAATAAGTTATATACCAATTTGATACATAATCTATCAGGTCTCAGCTTTCCAGATGTAAGCTTAAAGTTAATAGCTTCACAAGTTTTATTCACTCTGCATAAATAGAGCTGTATTATTCTATACTCTTGCAAACACAATTTAGATACAATATCTCTCCTTTTCACAGCCCCTCCAAAAAACAAGTTACCATATTTCACTTCAACTCTAAAAAGATTACCTTCTGGAAAGGTAATAATCTGTCTCCAGAAGCCTCAGACTTTTGATGGATTTTGTTAAGATGATAAAATTGTGCTTGAGGTTTCAATAAAATACACTCTGTATATTAAAATGGAGGGATGTGGATACTCTAAAGTAAAATCTGTTGAGTATCTTATAGATATCTTTAAATTTTACCCTTTGACAGTCTGTTTTCATTAAAAGGCATCCTATTGCTTTCTGCCTTCTCTACCCATCTGCAATGCACCAATTCCCACATTATTTGTTTTCTTGTTTGTGTAAATCTTCCCCTTCTAAAGTGGAAAGTCCACAAACAGACATTTTTGTACTTGTTCACTAATTATCATCAGCTCCTAAAACACTAACAGGCATAGTACAGATGCTCAATACA